CAAAAAAATTCGTTCTCTTCTGTGGCTTTATGTAATTATTCCCCCCATTTCCACCCGTTTCCCCGCAAAGCGGAAAACGATGCTGCTGAAAACTGGGGCTGAATTTTGATAGCCCCATCTTCAGGGACCGCCCAAAACTTTGTGACTCGTTCTGGCCCGACCTATTTTCGAAATCCTAAGAGTTACGATTTCGTTTGGATTTGGACCGGGAGTTGTTTGGACAATAAAACCCATTACACAGAAAAGGAGGAGGGGCCAGTTGGGGACGTACCCCATTTGATGCACCCCCCAGGAGCCCATTTCAACATAACCCATGGCCTGATTTGAAAAAATCCTTTGCAGATGGATGGCTTGGCTCGGCGTGGCTGTCCAGGAAGGAACAAGGAAGTGAACAGAGAAGTTCTTTCCCAACAAAGAGAAAAAACGGAGACCGGAAAGAGGAGGAAAAAAGGGACCTCGGCTAGTGTTGTAGGACGTTGCCTCCCAACAGAGAACTTCTGCCGGATCCCTTCCCTACCCCAAGACTAGGTAGCTAGCCTCCAGTTCCCATCTGCCCCCATGTGCCTGGCCAATGGCGAGGGACGATGGGAGTTGTGATCCAAAACGTCTGACCGAGTGCCGACATCATTTAGCCCAGCTCGTCTCTCGAGTCAACCCTTTCCGCCCGGTTTCGAAGGTTTGTTCTTTACCCTGGCGCCCGACGGTGCCCTTGCGTCCGTTGCCCAGATTGTGGAGGTAGACTGCTACGGAATAGGGAGGTTCTATAAGGCTGTTGCTGGCTGCAACGCCTGGGTTAATCCGTTGGGATGAACTGCCTGATTGGGTAGTAGGGTAGGCGCATACACAATTCCTCTGCTGCTTATTTTTCGAAACGGGGAAGGGCATAATTCACGCAGGGAGCTATTGTCCACCGATTTCTCCTCTGTCACTTCTCTTGCACTTTTGAGTTTCTCACCCGCTCCAGATCCCAGGCTTTCAAACCAGTTGAAGGCAGTTAACGCTGCTAAGTCTTCGAAAGCGGCCGTGCTGGGAACACCCTCCGAGCCCAAACGATACAAGAAGTGAATTCTCCTTCGCTGGCTTTCTTCACGGGCCCAGCTCAGCGGAGTCCCCAGTACGGGTTCTCTCGACTGTTCTTGGGCGAGGACACAACCCCCCCGCCTTGCATTTTGATGCTTTTAAAATCTAATTAAATGGAAGAAATAGAGTGACCCCCCCTCCCATTCCTGTATTTAACCAATTCCTTCTTTGCTCACATTACAGGGGGCAATTTGGCCACCGCATTAGGGAAATAGGAAGGGGTTCGTACTGGGGTCTGCCGAAACGTTTTGGTGCCCCGTAACGTTGGTCTCGGAGGAGTTGGGAAGCAAAAAATTCCAGGAAAAATGGATCATCGGGGGCTGAATTAGCCCACCAGCTGCATTTCAGCTGCTCAGGGATCGCAACGCCTCATGTGCATCTTCAGTGACTTAGGGGAGTTGCAGTCCTGCACAACTGGAAAGCCCCAAGGATCTCACTCTACCTCCTTTGGTGGGTAGGAGCCCAAAGTGGTCCGTTGCCAGGACGGGGCCAACCTTGGGGGCCCGGAGGCTTGCAACTGGCCTCTTAAAATCCCCCACCAACTTTTGAAAGGGCTCCAGTCTCCTTGAGCAGTTTTTGCGCACCTGGGTTAGAAAAATCTAACTACCCAGGACAGAGGTGAGGGGCCAGATCCGTTGAATCGTCAGCCCAGATCAAACCAGGAGCCTTTCCAGAATGCCAACTGGTTGATGCCAGCCAGAAGAAAAGAGCTGACCTCTTTGGACATTAAATTATCCCAGTTCAGCCCTGCTTTGCTTTCATCTGTGATCTGTGCGGTATCACCGTGTCCTGCGCCCAGGAATTCAGATGAAAGGGTAAAAGGTAATTAAAACTCTGTGTGGGAAGACAGCAGATTCTTGGTTCTTGCCCGTGAAAGATTATCTTCCACTCAATCAGCAGATTTTGCCCGTATATTGGCAGATCCTCATCTATCGGCCCACCCCGGCTCTGAAGCTCAGAATTCTTCCTTCTCCTTCACTTCTGCTTTTCTCCAAATGCCACATTTTTTTTTCAGGTCCGCCCCACCTGATCTCAAGTCTACCACTTAGAAAATGCAATAATAATAATAATAATAATAATAATAATAATAATGATGATGATGATGATGATGATGAT